TGAGTCGATATTGATTAAGGGTTGTTTGAGGACTAAGGGGTAAGCTTAAAAATCAAAACTATATCAGTTCAAAAACTCATAAATAAAACTCATAAATAGCTCTTAATTCTACCGCAAAGATTGATTCAATATTTTTGTTTTTAAGCGGTGGGGGGGGGCTGAGTCGATATCGATTAAGGGTTGTTTTGAGGACTAAGGGGGTGAGCTTAAAAATCGACTCAGCCTCCCCCACGAAAAACATTAAATTCATGCTCAGCGTGACGAGCTCAAAAATTTTAATTTGCGGAATATGAAAGCTCATAAATAGCTTATAATTTTGCGCTATTGGTTTTTTTATTTGTTCAAGGTGAGGGGGGGGGCAGCTCGACAGGGGTTCTTGAATGTGCGATGGATGAAAGAAAAATCGGAATCAAACGTAATCAACGTAACGGCAAAAATTATATTTTAGCAATATCACGAAGATATCGAGCATAAACGTCACTCGCGATTTTCGGCAATTAAATCGTCGATCATCGACGTGAATAGCGAAATAGAATCGCTGCTGTCAGCGGTCTTTCGGCATGATATTATTAATCGAGTTTATCCACGAGCGAAGTTCCATTGTCTTTTGATTGCACCATCGGTAAAATATCTAATTGTTTCGGTCGCATCACGCGCGGCCTGCGCGCCATTAGCGAATCGTTAATACTGAATTGCAACAACCGCGAAACGCTTTGTGCTCTAAAGCGTAGCGTGCTCGGATAAAGAGCATCCGAGAAATATATCCCGAGTTTGCAGGGTACATTAACGGCGGAAAATACCGGGCTATTACATTTGCGCGGTCGCGTCGGTGAATTCGAAACATACGTTTTCGAACTTTAATCGGAATCGATGAACTCTCCTGCCGCATGCCACACGGTGGACGATCCTATCGTTCGTTTACTATCGAAAATAAATTCACGCCGTACGCGCGCGTAATGCAGCGTACTCGTCGCGTGAGAGATGCATCGCAACGACATAATTACGACTGCACACTGTTATGCCGTGGGGTGATCAATTACAAAATGTTATTTTTCGGCTATTGTTTTTTTTTTTGTGTAATTGTTTTATCAATTAGTCGATTACTATGGCGCGGCATATATTTGACTGTTTTTTGCGAAACAGATAGGATGCAAAAATCGGCAGCTGATTATCTCTTGCGAAATTGCTTTCCAGCTTGGCCAAACACGCTTTCATTCGCGCTATCATTGCGCGCTACCGTAGCACTTCTGTGCGTATCCAAGTACATTTTGCAAAATGAATCCAAGACTTTGCAGCGTAGGTTGCTTCTTCTTCCGTGACCACGTCCAATTTAATTACGCGTGAAGTTCCCGCCGGGTCCGTAAAAACGTGTCTAGAATTGAATTAACTTCTGTTTGTCGAGAGCACCGTGTAATCTCCCTCGAATTACTTTATGACTAAAAGCTGCGCATTCGTGACGCACGAAGGTGCCGCGCCTCGCGCGCGACAGCGCCGAGAGGGGTCGACGACCGGGTCCAATATGGGAAAAAGAACACTCGCTTTGTCGGTCGCTTCCACGCAGGAAAATTTACGCACGGTTTTGCGATTTTCCGGAAATATATCACGCCTGCGACGCCGAAAACGCGTCGGATTTCCGTCACCGGCCTTAATCCGGCCGTGATTTTGCAACTTGCTCCCGCGAATCTGCCCTGATTTTTTCGCTGCCAGCGTCTTCAAATTGCACGTCGTGTTCTCTCAAGCCTTGTAATACGCAAACGCTCATTATAATTATTTCACTACGCGCGCGCGACTGGAAAAGATCATCATTAAAAGCATTCCCTTCGCGTCACAGGCGCGCATTGTGCGCGAAATCCGATTAAATGTTAAAACGATTGACAATGCTGTCGAAAACGCCGTCGCGAACGGGGACGATTCCCGTCTCGATATTGATATCGTTTTCGATATTGATCGAATGACTACGTCCGCGCCATCCGTACGGCATTCCACTATGTGTGTCGCGGCGTTTTATTAAAAATTGACGATTTCCATTGCGTTGTTTTCATTACATATAGATGTGCGAGCGTGATCTACGGAAAAAGCGCAACGTTGCAAAACAAGTGATATCATCCGACAAACTGCCGCACTGTGCGTAAGATAAGATTCCGCGTAAATACTAAGTAATGACGCAATGTATACGGAATGCTACTTTATCTAAAATCACAATAATGCAATAGACTCAGTAACTCCTCCATATAAACTTCCATAAAGATTTCGTAACGCAAATTTAAAATCCGATCATTTCTCTCGCATATCGTCACAATTTTGATAAAAATCCGAGCAATTATGTGCAGCAAACAGTGAGCAACTGTATTTATATGAGTCAACAGTAGATTTCGATTAAAATTACTATTCTCTCACATTTTACGATTGTGCTCTTTTTTTCAAATATCTATTTTCTGCGCATATTTCGCTGAAACCATTATTACCAACAACGGAAGCAAATCTAAAGTCGAATGACAAGAATTCGACCAGTCTAGACAGTTAGGCAATATAACGTGCAGTGGAGTAAGTTCATCATTAGCGGCGCGGCTTCGAGGTTGACTTAGTCCGATACTCGATAACGCTGTCGGACGGGCCGGCCTGAGAGTGCGAACTTCCCGAGGGAGAGCTGGTGGAACTTAAATGAACATTTTCCATGCGCGGCACCGAAAGCGGGAATTTATCGGGCTCGCATTGTATTTTCGCGCCGCTATGTCGACGAGCTGTTGCATTAACGATCGTGTAGGTGTACGAATATTTCTGCGCGCTTGCGCAGGTGTGTGTGTGTGTGTGTGTGTGTGTGTGTGTGTGCGTGTGTGTGTGTATGTATGTATGTATGTGGGTGTGTGTATGAGCACTACAAATACGGCAATTTTATCGCCGACACCCGATAGAAATCAAGCGACCATTCGTATATTAAAAAACGCATTCCAAGGAAACGAAGAGTCACTGTTTCTCGACAAACGATATGAATTATTTCTCGTTTAGATAAATCATTATTTCCATCGTGTTTTCCACTGCCCGCGAACGAGAATCACATAGAATTGTCATTTTCTCTCACGTTTATGGGATAAACAGTAATACCGGCCCGGATAAAGAAAGAGATATTGTAGGAGAGGAAATTTATGGAATCTTATTTTATGAAAAAAGTATGAAACGACTTTTGTAATCTTTATGATTATATTTCAACACACACGAGTTGAATATTAAGATCACCATAGTTCACCATAGAATAGATGCGAGGAGCTATGGCTCAATAAATATCACTTTTTTTCACACAATAATGTATTCCAGCTCGCTCTACTCTATCAAGGAAAACATTCTATCTCTTTTTTTCTCATGCAGTGATTTAAATCCTAGGAGATAAATATTAATATTTTAAAAAATCAATTCGCTCTTCAAAGGCATATAAAGGATCCATCGCTATGCTGTTTACCTCATACGCCACCGATAGATATCAAACGATCGTTTGTACTGTAAAGCCGCTTCCTGCATTTGAACGCATTCCAAGAACGAAGATGCATCGGTTCTAGAAGAGCGGTATAAATTATTTCGTGCTCATGCGAATCGGGTCATGTGCGCGATGTTTTTTTGCTCGTCGACGAAATGTTGTATAATATTGCTGCGTCTTTCGCGCAATACATAGATAGATAAATAGAAGATTTATTCAAATTCTCGTACGTTTGAGAGAGAGAGAGAGAGAAAGGGTTTTCTACGAGAATTTAAATAAATTACGAGTGCATTAGCAAGGGAAAATAATATACAAGTAATAACAGAATACAAATAATATAAAATAATAATAATACTAATATTGATAGTGATGATGAAAACA